CGGGCCGAGGCGGACGATGCGAAGCGTTTAAAATCAACGAGAACTGATATATGACAAAGTTAAAAGTATAGTAGATGCAGCGTCCCACGTAAGCGACATGTCCGTCGATGCAAAAAGCTCTCATCGGTCGGCAATAGAATCTTCATCTGCACCCGCTCCAAACCTCCACTGGGCATCTCCTCGATACTCCTTCAGCCAGCTTGCTCCATCCAGGTTTTGACCGTACATTACACCCGGAACCCTCGGACCGAAAGCCTTAAGTAATACCCAAAACCAACTGAAACCCTCCCCCGACCCTAAACCGTAAACCCTAAACCCTAAACCCTAGACCGAAATGGAAAACCGAGAAAAGGTAACCCGTTGAAGGCTCAGACCGTTGGGTGCTTAGGCGTTGATCGCGTTTAGTGTTTAGGGTTTAGGGTTTAGGGTTTTGGGTTCAGGGTTTAGGGTTTAGGGCATCCTTGTGGAGTTTCAGAAAATCAGGAACCTCAACGTAAAATCCAAAGCACGGAGATACTTGCTGTAACGATCCCTAGATAAGGTACCGCAGTTATAGGAAAGCCCCACATTATCCGGCAGGGCACCAGGAGTGATAGTCGAGTCTCTACATCATACTTAAGGCACTAGGGCATGTTGATGTTCTCCAAGGTTCAGGGTTTAGGGCTTAGGTTTGCGGGTTTAGGGTTCAGGGTTACGAACGAACCTCCGGCAAATAAAGCGACTAGAAACAAAAATGCGGAGTCCCAACTCTTCGCCCAAAAACCCGAAACGCCGGGTTTAGGGTTTAGTTTTTGTTTGGAGCTCCTTGGTTTAGGGTTTAGGGTTTACAAGAGCCTAAACCCCACAGCCTTCAACCGAATGCATCAGCAAATGGTGACTCTCTGGTCTAACGAGGGCACAGGGAATAATGTGGTGCCTTAATAATTAGCATAGGGTTTGGGGTATATTAAAACTATACATATAAGGAACCCTAAACCCTAAACCCTAAACCCAAAAGCCTATTCTAACTGCTAAGGCCCTACATTGGTGCTGGAGGTTGAGGATTGGTGCAACCCTGATGCCTCGACAACAGGAAACACCCCCATGGGTTTAGGTTTAGGGTTTAGGGTTTGGGTTTTAGGGTTTAGGGTTTAGGTTTAGGGTTTAGGGTTGAGGGTTTAGGGTTCAAGGTCCGTCTACACTCCAGCCCTACAGTACCGATAGAGTGACTCCTTCAAGGCAAAGCACCTACTATGTGGGTACATGTAGTGACGACAGTGTCTTCAAACTCTTGAACATCCACACAAGCAAAACCTGTCAGAATGCCCTCTTAGCTCTCTGCTTGCAACGAAAGCCAAAAAGCCAAAATTCCACTAAACTCTGAACCCTAAACCCTAAAACCCCTATTGAAATCTGATAGAACCCCATAGAGAGACAGCTGCAGAGCATTTCTAGAACCCCCCAGTAAACCCTAAACCCTAAACCCTAAACCCTTTGCCCCGAAAAAGGCCTGGACGGGCTCCAAAATCGAAAGGTCGGAGTCCCGGCACTCCATCCCAAGGGCTTGGATGTAGCGCCCACGCGGTCGGAGGAGGTCCCGGCTCCAGTCCGTCACTTCCTCTGTCTGGTGCTTAGTAGGGAATGGGGGAATGGATCCCTATGATGGACCTTAAGGGACTCCCTTAAGGTCCCTTATAGCAGTCCCTATAACCCTACTAAGCACCAGACAGTCCTGGGCTTTGGAAAGGAGGAAGAGCTCCGCTTTTTCAGGGCTTGTAGGGGGTTTTGAAATCTGGTCATTTGGGTTACTGCACTTCAGGGGTTTTCTAGAAAATGGGTCGTAAACGTCAAGTTACCGCGACTGAAGGGTTCTATGAGGTTTTAGATGGAACGGCGTTATCAAGCACTTGCGCCGGATTTACCGAGAACAGGTCGGGACCATCAGGCGCAAGGCAGGGGGCTTTTCCAGGCACATGGAGAAGATCTTTCAGACACACGCAACGGATTCCCTAAATCCTAAACCCCCAAGAAAGCCTGCAAGTGTGATTGATAATTCCCGCGCATGTTCTTGAAATTTCATGAGCATCTCTTTGATAAATCGCGCGCTTGTCTTTGATAAAACTGGCGTTTATTCCCGAACCATTGCGCAATGAAAACTCAAGAAGTTTATGAAAAAGACAGCTCCCGTTTTCGATAGCTTAATCCTTCTTGAGGGCTTCGGGACTTAGTTTTCAAGGTTGAGGACCCTCCTTATATGAAGCTACCAGAGACAAGGGAGGCACGATATTCACTACATGTCACTCTCATGAAACATGAATAGTTCCGCAACACGAACCGAGATTCGACCACATGAAGGTCGTGATTGCTGGGCAGGCTCAACGCTTCGTCCCAGGGAACGCTAATGCCCGGCAGCTTGCCGTTGATAGGGTGGAAGGATAAGACCTGCTCCCCAACAAGAAGACTCTTTCCCTTCCTATAAGGACTCCAAACCGGGGTATCCCGAATAATGTAGGGACCTGAATAAGAAACCCGTCCTTTTACACCAAAATAGTAGGATCCATATAAAGACCCCTAATAAAGACCCAAGGTTTCTGAATCAGGTTCCTACGTTATGCTTTAAGGTCTGTTGCTGAATGAAGGGGCTTTGGAGTCCCTGACTTTTTCGGGCAGAAGGCCTTCTTGGAACGCACCACCTTGGATTTTGAGCAAACGTAGAGCTTCTGCCTGGTGACCCCGAACTCTTTCGAGAGCAAAATTCGGCCAAACAGCTCTGTCCTGCGAGAGTCTGGTCTGAGGAAGCTAGTCCAACGGTCAGTTGTAACGACTGCTTAGCTAAATCAGGGTCCCTTTTGGGGTCCTTCTTATAAGGGACCTAAACAGGGAACCTTTTTATAAGGGAGGGAACCTAATTTAGAGAACTGCCGTGATGCAAACACCAGAATTCAAAAGCTAAAACTCGAAAGTCTGCGTGAACACGCCGCCCTGGAGCCTAAGCCCCCAAAACGAGACCACTTGAAGACCCACATATCTCGGAACACCAAAGACAAGTGTGACCGCGAAGCCCTAAGTCCTGAAACCCTAGATTAAAGCGAACTACAGGTGGTGAGGTTTAGGGTATATAGGGCTTCTAGAAGGCTTTCTATAAGGTGTATAGACCTTCTATAAGGCTCCTATAACGGTAACTACCCACCTGAAAATGTCCTAGACTGGACCCAGACTCTACAGACCCTAAACCGTAAACCCTAAACCCTAAACCCTAAAACCCTGAACCCTGAACCCTAAACCCTAAAACCCTAAACCCTAAAACCCTAAACCCTTAAACCCTGAGCCCATAGACCCCATGCCCTCAACCCAGCCCTGAAAATACAGAGAAGAACACGCTGGAAGGGCCTCCTTCTCTGAAAGACAAACTCCAAACGCTACAGTAAACCCCTAACACCCAAAGACCTAAACGCTAACACCCCAAACCCCTAAACCCTAAAGCCCTAACACCCTAAAACCCAAACCCTAACCCCCCTCAACCCTAAACCCTAAACCGTAAACCCTAAAGCCCTAACACCCAAAGCCCTAAACCCAGAGCCCTAAGCCCGAAACACCCAAAGCCCCAAACCCTAAACCCTAAAGCCCTAACTAACACCCAAAGCCCTAAACCCAAAGCCCTAAACCCGCAACACCCAAAGCCCCAAAATCCAGAGCCCTAAACCACCCAAAGCCCCTAAACCCAGAGCCCTAAACCCGAAACGCCCAAAGCCCCAAAATCCCTAAACCCAAAAGCCCTAACACCCAAAGCCCTAAACCCAAAGCCCTAAGCCCGAAACACCCAAAGCCCCAAAATCCCTAAACCCTAAACCCTGAACCATAAACCCTAAACCCAAAGCCCTAAACCCAGAGCCCTAAGCCCGAAACACCCAAAGCCCCAAAATCCCTAAACCCTAAACCCTGAACCATAAACCCTACAGCCCTAACACCCAAACCCGCAACACCCAAAGGCCCAAAATCCCAAAATCCCGGGCCTGCCCAGATCCAGAGCTCCGGTCGAGTCCAGCGGCCGTCGACGAACGGATCCATCCTGCGAGAAGACCCGGGCCTCGCTGGCGGTTTTTTTTTTAGGGTTTAGGGTTTAGGGTTGAGGGTTGAGGGTTTAGAGTTTAGGGTTTAGGGTTTAGGGTTTAGGGTTTAGGGTTTAGGGGGGTTTGGGTTTGGGGCTTCGGGTTTAGGGTTTGTGGCTTCGGGCTTGGGTGTAGGGCTTGAGGTTTGGGGCTTCGGGTTTAGAGGGTTTAGGGCCTAGGCCGATGTTTGGTTCCATAGGAGGTCCTGTCAAGGGGTTTTGGGCTTAGGGTTTACGGCTGGGGTTCGGGAAGGATTCTGGGAGGGTTCCTTCAGGGGTCTATACCGGTTTCACAAAGACTCTCGGGCTTTACGGGCTTCGGGCTTCGGAGCACTGTCGCTTTCCGTTGCGCGAATTTCGGGGTTCAAGGGATGCAGCTGATGGACACAACCCTGCAACGCCTTAAGCAGCCTATGCTCTGGGATTCAGTGTAGATCGGGGTGATAGGACGTGCAGCTTAGGGCCTACGTCTAGGGAAAGAGCCCGGGATGAACGGTATTGCTGGCATTGGAGTTCAGGCTTCGAGGGGAAAAGCACCAGAGCTGAAGATTCGGACTTACGATCTAGGGCTTTAGGCTTAAGAGCTTGAGGATCGGAGTCTGTTGTTTAGGCCCCCATGGAATCAGTTTCCTGGCCTTGGAGTCAAGGGATAGCAGGCTTCAGGTTTTCGGACAAACCTCTCTATTTGAGGTGTAAGCCTCCGGTTGTTGATGGATTGTTACTTGCCTTGCACAACAGGGGAGGTTGCTTTCGGACCTGGACGCGCAGATTGCGGAGTCTTCAGGTAGCCGTGAAGGGACTGCAACTGAGGACGTGGCATACAGGATCCGAACGTGACAGCGGTCGAAATCCCATGCTTGTCCTCGATTCTTGCCCACCAAGATGTGCACCTTGCGACAGGAACTGGCATGCTAAACCTCGCGGTTCTAGCGTCGACAGAGCCCATGAAGTCTCGCTACCACGGATCAAGATTGAAGAAGTGTTTTCGAATCATTGTCGTGGCTTCAGCATATCCAACACCCACTCAACACCTGAGTTCCTGAGGTATGTGATTTTCACCCAAGCCGTGAACTGCAAAAGGTCCGGGGTTCAGGGCTCTCTGCCTTGCAGCGATGTAAGCACTCGGGGCCGCGCTCAATCAGCACCTTGAGGGCGGCTGTTCGGATGCCTAAATTCTTACAGGATCTTCACTCAACACAAGGACCCTGCATCAGTGACTTTGCTGTCCCCCCTTTCACGTGAATCTTATCTCACCTAGGTATTTATACATCAAGGTTCCGACAGGGTTGGCAGCGCAGGGGTCAGTAGAAGTAGTTTCCGGGTTTCCATTGTACTGTAGAGCTTGCATCTTCGCGGTTCAGGGGCCTACGCTCGGGACGTACTCGGCCCTTGTTCAGGAACGTAGGAGTTTCGGGCTCCTCCATACAAAACAAAGCCAACTGCAGCAATCGAGATAATCTCGTCTCAGCAACCCCCCTACACCCTAAACCCTAAACCCTAAACCGTAAACCCTGCATTAAAAAAAGCTTACGCGACATGAGGCTCAGGGCTTCAGGACCCAGATGCCCAGGGTCGCGGTTTTAGTGCAGGTTTAGGGTTTAGGGTTTAGGGTTTAGGGTTTAGGGAGCTTAGCAGGGTCTCAGGGATAAGTGCTGGATTTGGACTTTGGAGCATCAGAGCTTTTGTGATTTTTTAGCTGGCGAATCCTGGCGACAAACCCCCCTGACGCCTGAAGCTGCAACCCTGGATCTAAACCCTAAACCGTAACCTCCGAGACTCCAAACCCTCTAGCCCAATAACCCAGCCCAACTACGTAAGAGCTCCGAAGCTCTTACGCCCACGGGCCTCTCCGCACCGCTTCTGCTGGCCATCGGAGATCCCAGATACGCAGCGAAAGGTCCCGTAGACCAGGACTCCCATCCTCAGGTTTGGGGCTGTTGGGCTTTAGGATTTGTGGGCTCAGGGCTTGGGGTTTAGGGTTTGGAGCTTAGGGCTTAGGGTTTAGAGCTTAGGGCTTAGGGGTTTGGGCTTTCGGATTTGTGGTTTAGAGCTTAAGGCTTAAGGGTTTGGGCTTTAGGATTTGTGGGCTTCGGGTTTTAGGGCCAAGTTTAGGGTTTTGGGATTCGGGGTTAGGATTTTTGGGCTTCTATAGGGTCTAGGGCCCAGTTTAGGGTTCAGGGGTTCGGGGTTCGGTGTGGAGAGTTGTGGATTTCGGGCTTCAGCTGGACATGGGGAGGGGTTCATCGGTAGACAGAAGTCGGGATACAGCTGCTGCGCATGGGCTATAAATCCTGCGATTGGGTCTACCCCACATGTTTGGCATCGCTTCCAATTTCCATCTCTGCCCCATTAAAACGTTCCCGCTTGCAGACTAAGGCTCCAGGGCGTTTTTGGCAAATTTATGCTTATGCTATTGGAGAAGGTACCCTGAAACCCCAGATATGGGATGCTTCTGTTCGCCCTCCTCAAGAAAGATGTGGAAGCCTCAAAACTGGAATCCCTTACGCTTCTGCTTCGCTTCTGCTGCTCATGGGAACCCACACTAGGGTTTTCAACCCCTACACCCCTGACCCGAAACCACATACCAAAACCTGTACAAAAACGCACAGAAAATAAACCTTACACAAGCAACCCGTAAAGCTCCCAAAACTCTAAATCCCAAGCCCTAAACCCTAAACCCTAAACCCTAAACCTAAACCCTAAACCCTAAACCCTAAACCCTAAACCCTAGACCCTAAACCCTAACCATCCCAAGCCCTGGAAGCTACCAAAAGAGAAGCTGAGCCTCAGCGCCTCTAAGGAAGCGATTCCATCGGGTTGCGCCTCCAACTCGGCCTCGAGATCTGCCTCCTCTTGGAAGCGGGATCTAGGGTTTAGGGCTTAAGGCTTCGGGTTTAGGGTGTAAGGTTTATCGTTTAGGGTTTAAGGTTTAGAGTTTAGGGTTTAGGGTTTAGGGTGTAAGGTTTATAGTTTAGGGTTTAAGGTTTAGAGTTTAGGGTTTAGAGTTTAGGGTTTAGGGTTTAGAGTTTAAGGTTTAGGGTTTAGGGATCTGCCTCATTGAACTTGAGAGCGCTTAGGGCTTCGGGGTAAGTTGTCGGCTTGAGGTCGGCGTTTCATGTAGGGGCGTACTTAAAAGGCATTAGGGTTTAGGGTTTAGGGTTTAGGGTTTAGGGTTTAGGGTACAAGGATCATGAGACATACTGAATAGAGTTACCAACATGCTAACTGTCGATATATCTACTTCTGACCGCGATTAAGGGGTACTTATACTTTTACTTATCTTCGGTACGAAGTCCCGGGACCCTCCAAGTAAGCCTCAGAGGGTTCCGGGCCGAGGCTTCAGGGCTTGGGGTTGAGGGCTTAGGATTTTGAGACTTGAGCTTTACCAGGCTTCAGGGAACATGGTTCCAAAAAAAAAAACGTGTGCTGGCCAAGAACCCTAATCTCCAGGTCCTTGCAGTCGGCAGCACACGAGGAGGCCACGTCGAAGAGCTGCTCTGCGTCTGAGACATCCTCGCCGCTCTCCCAGCTGCCCTGGCTCTCCAAGTCGTGCAGCTCCGCCTTGGCCAGCGACAGCTGCTGCTTTAAGGCCTCGAGGTTCGGAGTTTGAGGGAACCCGCTGCCAGTCCATCCGTGCTGGACCAGCACCTTCCGAACGTGTGCCGTGCCCAGCGTAGCTCGAAGGTCCTTCTCCAGAGCCCGCTTCAGCACAGCTGGGTGGCTCTCCGCTGTCAGCGCCGCGTCGACAGCCTCCACTGCCGAGTGGAGCCCCCGGGCAGCATCTTCATGATCCGAGCCTTCCTCATCCCAGGGTAGAGATTCAGCTGACTGGGGTGCAGGGGACAACTCCGGCCCGGATCGACCCGGTTCGGCGATCTCTGCTTCGGCTCTGCTCGGAGGCTTCGTCTCTACCGGCTCCGTCCTTGAGGGCGCCGATGGCAGAGAAACTTGCACCAGCTTCAGATGCTTGCTGCGCAGGCGGTCGGGGCCCACCCAGTCATCGTCCTTGGAGGTGTAGCCGCTGTAGTTGACACGAACGGGTTCCTTGGACCTACCTCTGCTGCCTGAAATCTCCAAAACCGTGCAAAGGTACGGCGTTCCGTCGGACAGAACCGTGACGTGCATGCCTACGCACAGTCCAGAATAGTCAGGCAGTCGCAGCTTCTCCACAGGGAACCACGCAGAATGAGTCTTCGCTGTACTTTGGCGAACTTTGACAGGTGCTTTGGCACGCTCTGCCGCTGATGAGACTTCCAGCACCTCACCACACACCAGCGAGTCTGCATTGCAGACGATCATCCCCACGTGAAGAACATTGCGTCCTTGCGTGCTGGGACGAAGACCCGGGCTTGGAGACGCTCTGGGCATGCTAGGCTCAATGAGCTTCAGCGCCTTGCTACGCAAGCGTTCGGCACCCACCCACTCATCATCCTCGGCGGTGTAGCCATTGTAGCGGATGTGGACCGGACAGGCACCGTTGTTGCCATCAGAAGACATCTGCAGAACTGTTGCCAAGTACACCTTGCCTCCTGCCACTACTCCAACCTGCAGTCCAACTTCGAAAGCCGAGTAGTCAGGAACTTGTAAGCTTTTGACACCGAACCATGAGGCCTGCTGTTCACCCTTGGAGCTGGCAGACGAGATCTGCACGAGCGCGGCTGCCTCTGAGTCACTGGACACTTCGAGGACTTCGCCTCGGAGCACTCCACCCTTACGCTTCACCAGCACCACCATGCCCAGCTGGAGCACCGGACCCCCTGAGTCACCACCACTGGTCTCTGCCTCACCGTGATCTTCGAGCTCCTCGATGGCATGTTGGGCAGGCATCTTCAGCGGCATCTTGGGCTGAAGGAACTGTACAGCTCGACTCCGCAGGCGGTCGGCCCCGACCCACTCATCATCCTCAGAGCCGTAGCCGTCATAGTGGACCTCCACAGGTCGTCGAGCACGTCGGCTTTCCAGAGAGACCCCTTTCACCGTGCAGGAAAAGCTGCCACTCTCGTGCCAGACGGTCACCCGCATGCCCTCCGCCAAGGAAGAGTAGTCGGCTATTTGCAGTTCATGAACACCGAACCAGCCCGTCTGTGTTTTCGTGCTGCCGTAGCGAACGTTGACAGGTGCTGCAGCTTGGAGGGGCGAATGTGAGATTTCGATCACCTCACCCCATACCGAAGACGACTTGATTAACGCCATCATACCCACATGCAGGACCTCTGTTCTTGGGAGCGGATCTCCGTCATATTGGTTCTGCTCTGGTCTGGACTGCTCCTGTGATAAGGGATCTGCAAGAGACGGTGTCCTTGTCTTGAAATGGTGGTATTTGCAAATGTTCCCAAAACCACACGGCATTCCAGGCACGTCTTCATGCAGAAACAGCTTCTTGCCCTGGACATGCTGCCCCTTGTGCCAGCACTTGCCCTCAAGCCAAAGACAACACACAACTGAGATTTTGGTCGACATTGCATGGGCATCGGAACCACATGAAATCGAAGTGTCTCCTGCGATCTCTGTGCATCTCACACCCTCCAAACCTCCCAGTTCGTGGAGGGGGGGCTTGGGACCTTCACCGGACGATAATTGAGGCAGGTCTGCCTTTTGCAAGGCGGGCTTTTGCGATAGGGGATCTGCCAAAGACAATGGCGGTGTCCTTGTCTTGAAATGGTGGTATTTGCAAATGTTCCCAAAGCCACACGGCAGTCCAGGCACGTCTTCATGCAGACACAGCTTCTTGCCATTCACATGCCACCCTTTTCGTTTGCATTTCCCCTCAAGCCACAGACAACACACGACCCGAGAAAACGAAAGGTCTCTGGGGATGTCTGTACATCCCACACCTTCCCAAGGTTCTACGTCGTGGAGCTGGGGCTTGGGACCTCCATCGTAGGTCACAAGCGGCAAATCGGCCTTCCGTAGCTCCTCCTCTGCTTCCGTCTTCAGCTCCTTGCGATGCCAAGAGACCGAGTCTTGCGCTCCCAGCCGCAGCTTCTCAGCCGAAGTCCTCGCAGCTGGAACTGCTTCTGCAGACCGCCGATCCGTGTACTCCCTCACTGAATCGGAACGTGGAGCTTGGAGAGCTGGGTGGCCCACCTGGCCGTTCCTGGGGTCTCGTGTTAAACAACTTCCTTCGCCATACCATGTTCGAGAGATGTAGTTCTTGAGGAAAACTCCCATTGAACCGTAAAACACCCTGTTTATAAAGCCTGACCAAACCCTCAGACTAAGTTCCTTCACAAGAGCCCAGATTCCTTAAACCCATGTCCAAACCTCCATAATGCTAAAAAATATTTACCTTAAGCTGAGCTACCCAGAGAACCCAATACCCCTTAATTAAGGAATATACCTTAAATTATAGAGGCCTTAATATTATGATTTAAGGTATATTCCCTGATTAAGGGTATTGGGTTCTCTGGGTACAGTATTTCACAAGAGCCCAGATAGCTGAGCTACACCCTAAACCCCTAACCCCTAAACCCGCAAAACCCTCAACCCTAAACCGACAAGAGCCCAGATTCCCTCGTGCATCGGCTTCATCGCACCACTCCCACGCAGAGCGGAAGAGCGGTTTGTTCATATGCCACGCCTCGGGCTGATGCCCGTGCCTTGGGTTCTTGATAGAGTTCTAGGAGTTTGGGCTTGGGGTTTAGAGGGTTTAGGGTTTGGGGTTTTGGGCTTAGGGTTTACGGTTTAGGGGTTATCGGAGTTTGGATTGGGGGGGACCCTTGGGGATAATAGACCCTCTCCTTAAGCTCCCTTTAAGAGAGCCACAAGTAGGGTTAAGAAGGGTCCCCTTAGAGGGGTCTCCCTAATACTACCCAGGATGATAAATAATTTTCAAACGTTTAGGGTTTAGGGTTTGCTGAATTCTTGGAACTTACTCTTCGAGCTAAAGGATTTACAGGTTGTTAAGCATTCTTATGGGTGTTCATACGTTTTCTGAAGGAGTCTATTTTTAATCTAAGCTACCCAAAAACGACGCAAAGGAGAAACCGTAAATGGCAAGCTTGCCTTACCAGGGCTACTTAAACTAAGTGCACGAACAAGACATGGGGGTTTCCGAAAATCGGGGACCTCAATATAGTACCATAACCAGTAGGATCCTTATTATAACGACCCCAAAATAAGGTACCCCTTGTTTTCGGAACTCCCAAATCAAGGGGCATCTGCAGCCCCACGCCGTTAAAGGAGCTGTCGAGGGCGTGGAGCCGGTTGGAAATCCTGGGGTCCGTGCGGTCGAAGAGCCGGCAAGGGGCGAACACCGTCTTGTGTCGGCACCTTCATTAGGGTTTAGGGTTTAGGGTTTAGGGTTTAGGGTTTAGGGTTTAGGGTTTAGGGTTTAGGGCTGGGTTCTCAGTAATTAGAGCTATTTCAACCATGAAACTCATCCAATCACAACGCACGCATGCAGGGGCTCGGTTTCTTGAGGTCACCGTCTAGCTTCTTGCTCGGTTTTGAAATTTCAGCCAGATGCACATGCCCTGGAGGCTGCTGAGCATGGCCCCGCGGCGGCTGCCCCGCATGATGAGCAGCTTGGCACCGTCCACCATGACATCCAAGGGCTCGATGTCCTTTCTCACAGGAGCCCTGGACTTCAAGGATTCATTGCCCATACTTGGCGACCAATCCCCACAGAGCACCACTGGCACGCCCAACCCTGAAGAAATGGTGACAACAAAGCAACGCAATTGACTCGCTTGGGGCAGTAACCGACTTTCTGAAGTATCAAGCAGAGTCTCTTGCTTTTCATGTCCTGAAGGCCTAGCTCTTGGCCCTAAGTCCTAAACAAGACTCGACGTGGAGGTTTCCGGTTGCAGTGCCACCCCGGTCAGAACCAATGACAGCGTCTCTCCCCTTTGCAAATTGCCCCCAAAACGCTACCACAAGCTCAAGCCTCAGATATGGCCGCGGGTTGGCCTCAGCCCTTACGGCTTCAAGGTCAGGCGAGCACGATCAAAACAAGCCCAGCCGAAGTCCTGGAAACACCCTGATGTCCAAGCCCAATCATACCCCTGTCAAACTCGTTCCCTCGTTCCTCCGGCTTCAGTCGACCACTGGCAAGGTCGTGGAAAAGCTCGTAGACGGATCGGTCCTGACGGATTCGGACCTACGCCTAACATAGTAATTACCCTAAATAGTAGGATCCTCAATATAAGGACCCCAAAATAAGGTACCCGACTTTTCGGAAACCCGGCTCAAATGTCAAGGTTTGGGATCCTTAGGTTCATGCCAGACGTGCAGCTGTCGTCAAGCTCTGGTGGCTTGTCTTCGACCGGAGTGTCGCACTGTCTTCCTGTACCCAGTCTGCAGAATGTGGCGCATGTGGTGTGTTCATTGCCGGGTCGGTAAAGATACGACCATCATCATGATAACTGAGGAGAAGCGGCCTAGGCCTTCAACCATTGAACCGGAATTCGGCAGGCAGGCTCCGGGCTTGGGACGCTACCCTGAAGCTCAAGAGCTCAAGATTGCCCGTTGTTGCCTCACACTTCGTACTTCATTGTGCCGACCTACATGAGGAGATTCCACGAGGACTGACACCTTGCACCTGATCCCCGACGCGTCCTTGTAGTCTCCGGAGGTGAAAGTCATCTGACTGTGCACCCTCGCCTGCGCCCAGCCCAGGCACCAAACGGGCACCAGAACCACCCGTCCGGTGCCAACCTCCTCCCGAAGCACTCGTCCCTGCCTTGGCGTGGCTCATCCCCACAGCCCGAGCGGTCGTGAGGTTTAGGATTTGACTCTAGTCTCCATTGTAGCTCCTTTTTGGGGTTACCTTATAGGATCCTAATTTTTAAAATTGGTCAAACCGAAAAAAGGAACTACAATGGAGACTATAGGTAGGCTTAGGGTTTAGGGTTTTTCAGGGTTGATAAACTTTAAGGCGACGTGGAGGCTCAGAAACTCGCACCTACTACAAGGGTAGTTCTCTAAGTTAGGGTCCCTTTCTAGGTCCCAAATATAGTACGGCACCCTTATAAAAAGGACCCAAAAAGAGACCCTAATTTAGAGAACTACCCATAAGTTGACAGTCAACTCCATCGCACTTCCAGATCTCCCTGAAACACCACCCACATTCTAATCCAGAATCGTAACACCGTGCATGAACTCGAGGGAGCAGAAAACCCTGCCGATACTGCCGCTGTGCGTCTGAAAGTGATCAATGTCGGAGATGCATGGAACCAGTCTCTTCACATGGGACGAATCCTCTTTCTGATCTTTCGATGCTGGCGTCGTGCACGTGGAGGTGGAGCCGGTGGAGGGTGTCTCTGGCAAGGGACCATCTTTCAACAGGGAATGATGCCGGAGTATGACGCGGCAGTGCACCTTCTTCACCGACATGTCCTTCATATCTTGCTCCAAGTCCTTCACATCTGCTTCGCGTAAAAACTTGATGTTGTAGCCAAATTCCTCAAACTTCTCGGCATAGATTTCCAGATCTGGATCCACAGACACCAACCAGTCGCGGATGCATGGCTTTCCGAGCGGCATGATCTTTCAGCTGTGTACACTTCCATTGATTGTACTTTGTTTTTCTGTTTCGACGTCCAGATTTCGCAGTCATGCAAGCGGAACGAAAGTGCAAGTCAGCTCAACTGCAAAAAGTTGCACTTAGAGGCCACGGGTAGCTCCAAAACAATTGAACATCAATCGCCCTGAGCCCATAAATCGTCGTGGATTACCACTGTCAGAGATCACATCTTTCAGATCCTACCGTTTCGATGTGCTTTAGATCCAAACCATCACGAACAGACCATGCAACACAGCTTCATAAATGGGCAACACGACAGCACACTATCCAGATGGGTAGTTCTCTAAATTAGGGTCCCTTTTTAGGTCCCCAGTGTAGTACGGCACCCTTACAAAAAGGACCCCAAAAGGGACCCTAATTTAGACAACTACCCAGATGAATCAGCACGGTTGTAGCTCAGGGCCGGGGCCTTAAGTGTTGCGGGTCCTAGGTTTTGGTATGCGAAGTTGTAAGGGTGTTCATGATTCATGGTATGGCTGGGTTCTTGTTGCGGAATTTACTTGAAGTTACCATAGTACAAAAACCCTATGCCTTACTTTTGATCCCTATGATTATGATGTTATGATAGGGCCTAGGTAAGAAATTCAAAGCCCAGCTTTGTGGTCCGTTTTGCCTCCAGCGCGAAATGCTCATCGTGCAACCTGCTGGGTCCCTGCTCTGTGCTGTCCGACAAGGCCGCGGATGTGACGATCTATCTGCTGGAGAGATGATGACAAGCCTCCTACAGAAACACTTCCCAAGATGCCCGTTCTTGGGAGGCGCCTGTGGAAGCTTGCTCGTTTCGAGCTCACTCCTGGCGGGCCTCCAGGCAGCCACGCAGGGAGTGTCCTCGCACATTAACGCACGGGGCGGTGTGACCCTGCACTGAGGATCATCAGGGACCCCGGAAGAGAGACACTTGAGCCAGCCTGTGCTTGAGAGGTTGCCTTCCTGTACTGCCGATGGTGCCTGCAGGCGCAACAAGACGGATTCCTGACACGCGCAACAGCCTTGCCAAAAGCAAGCAAGGAGCTACTCATGCATACAGCTTATACTCATCACAAGCCTGGGTGACGAAATTTCGAAGACCCGGGCAGGCCTACCGTCGTCGACGCACTGGACAGTAGTAGATAGCCGATAGCGAGTTCCAGGCTTGATCACCTTTCGGCTGCTTCTGGGGTTGCTCACCTCTGCAGCTTCGGACGCAACTGGGCCACGCGCAGGGCCTTGGGAAGCACCCCGCGTCGGAAGCTGCACCGCATGACTATGCCCTATGGATCAAGGCACTAGTTGGGACGAAGCCCAGGCTTCCGAGCTGTTGCCATCATGCCCTGGAGACTACAAGCCGTCTGTGGGCCCCGAGACTAGATCAAATAGCCCCCGGCACCTCCCAAACCCAGCTTCCAGACGAGCCCGACAGATGCCCATGTCGGGCTTGCAAAAACGCGGCTTCTTGAGGGTGGTGCCACTCAGAGGCTCTGGCACCTTCGAGGTCTGATCCCCAGAGGCAGCCACAGCGGGGTGCTCACTTTGTGCCGTTGCCACGGTTTAGGGTTTAGGGACCTATATTATTTTGGGGTTTAGGGTTTAGGGTTTAGGGCCTTATTATAAGTACAGTACAGCTTCCCGAGCCAGAGCCCCTTTTTGCTTCACTTGCCGGAGCGGCCGGACACTGCTCAACGCGCAGAGAGGCATCCGGCGGTATCGGGGCAGCTCACATGGGGGGGAAGACATTTAAGACAGGTCGGAAGGAAAGGAAAGCGGCGCTTTAAGCCCAAGCCCTGAGCAGCCTTAGTTGTCCTATCTCTCGGGGGCTGAAACCCTCTGGGCCGGGGCCTTCAAGACGTCTCTTCCCGGAGACAAGTACCGTCTCAAGCCCATCTGTACCACACCGAAGTATGTCGCCCTAGCCACAGCCAGTTTAGAAGTGCAGGCCACAATCGCAAGGTCAGCTATGCAGAACCTGGGATCTTCGCCTACAGGCTCTCTCCACGGGGAGGATGCTGAGGCTCAATGCTCTTTGAGGTCACTCTACACCCGCGATCACTCCTAGCAGGGGCAGACACACACAGAGCCTGTAAGGATCCTCCAACTTTCGAGACGCGCACCGGCTTTCCACGAAGCTTTGAGGGGGCGCCAGGCAGGGCGGGCCGTGACGTTGCAATCAGCAAGTGCGAGAAGAGCCTGAGGTCATCCTTGAGTTTTTGTACCCTCAACCCTAAACCCTAAACCCTAAACCCTAAATTAGTAGGTTTCGGGCTTAAGACTTACGTCGTCCAAGGCCGTTTCGACGGAACAGCCGGGCTCTCCGTCCGAAGTTCAGAAGGTCACGGCTGCGCTGCGTTCGCAGGGAACGGGAGTCAGGTAAGGGCCTTGTGCCCTTATACTTATACCATGAAGCCCAAGATGGTCTATGAGGGTTTCCGAAAATAGGGGACCCTTGTGCCCCTATACTTCTACCATGAAGCCCAAGGGGCCCTATGCCCCTATACTTCTACCATGAAGCCCAAGATGGTGTATGAACCTTACAGGTGCTGGCGAGGCTGGCGGCCGCTGTCGGCCGCCGTCGGCCCGGGCACATCTGTGGGCCCTTTGCAGATCGCGGGGCGACTCGGCGAAGCCGCCCGAAGTCTCGGAGTCCCCTAATTGGGGTTATAAGTAGAGTTACCTTAGGGTTTAGGGTTTAGGGTTTAGGGTTTAGGGTTTAGGGTTTAGGGTTTAGGGATAACCATACTTACTAAGTCCCATGGGGGCCCTGGCGGTTCTTCGAAGCCGCACAGCACGGAGCGCAGTCAGCGAAGCGGAGGGTCCCTCAAGGCAGCTCGAAGAGAGCGGGAGCCGCAGACGTGAGCGGGATGACTTTTGGTGCGTGGAACACGGCAGACTCTCAAGGAGTCTTCGCACGGGAGGCCGAAGACCATCTTCGTGCCCGACAGGACGCTTTTTTGCACGGCCCGAGGCGCTTCCGTGTCACGGAGCAGCAAAGCCTGCACAGGGCGATCTGTGGGTCACGGCTCAGGCATTGAAGTAACATGAGAGTCGGCAAAGCTGGCCCGAGCTGGCAAGGCCTTCGCGGAGCGACGCGCTGACTGGTGGAAAGCGGAAGCTTCTGAGCTTGAGGCCACCAAACTGCAAAAAGCCCTCTCTACTTTGGTTCAGGGTTTAGGGTTTAGGGTTTAGGTTAGACTTGTTGTATCGTCTGCATGGTGGGGAGGTGTGTATCGCTGGAATTGAAGCACAGTCTGCGAGGCGATCGCTCCGATGCACAGAAGGCTGAGCGTTGCCAACAATGTGAGCGTCCAGGCTCAGGTGTGAGGGCCACGAGAGAACGGTTTAGGTTTTAGGTTTTAGGGTTTAGGGTTCAGGGTTTACCCTATCTCCATAACTTTTGAGGCGTGGTTCTGAACAACTGCGGCATGGAGCGACGTGGAATCACTCAGACATGTTTACTTTGCAGACGTCAAAACTGACGCGGCTGGAAGCATCCTCGAAACAGAGATCATCTTATGGACTCAGAACTATGTTTTACCGGACGTTTTATTCTCCCTCCCGGACATGCCTCCTCTTCGGCCACTGATGGCCTCCCCTACTAGTGATTATCTTGCACTTGCGTAGTCCCGCAAGCTTGAGCTTTTCTGCGTCATTGTCTTGGATTTGGGTACTGCCGCGGGTCAACCTGCAGCTCTCCGTGTTCGGCCGGGGGTGAAGCAGGCTTTAGCCGCGGATGTTGGGAGGGAGATAACCTCTCCTGCGGCTGCTTGCGCAAAGCTGCAACGAATCAGGTCGACCTCTATTCCCCCCAGCAATGCATGACCCCGGCATCCTGCTCTAGAATGCCGTGGCCGGAGCACTCCCCGAAGAACTGCGTCAGTGCTAAGTCAGACTTGATCCTGAGTTTAGGGTTTAGGGTTTAGGGTTTTGTTACCTGGTGCAAAAACGGCTCTTTACTTGTGGTTGCGGCGCCTGCCTCGTGGGCTTCAAAGCGGCTCAGACAGAGCAGCCGGCAAGTGCGTCAGTCTCAACTCGCAGCCAGCATTGACACTTCCGAGTTCTCTCCCTAAAATGGGCGCTGTGGGGAGCTGAAGCCATCAGCTCTGCGAGACAAAACAAGATGCATACGGGACCAAGAAGATCTGCCTGAAGACCTGCCGGAAGAAGGGACTTCCAGGTGCTGCCAGGGGCATCGGGCCCCTGGGGTCGTTCGTCCGACAAAAACTCCAGGAAGCCACAGCTGGGTTGTAGTTTTGGGGCCCTGAAAAGTCTTTATGAAGAGGTACCTCTATAGAAACCATAAGGGAAGTTTTAAAATTTCCCCAAGTTGCCACCTAGACAAGGGACACCTTGCTCTCCAGCCGGGGCCACCCGGTCGGCTTCAGATCAGAGGTTCGTCACGAGCTGCCTGGAATGGGTCGAAGAGGCGGCCTACGGCTAGGAGAGGGCCTTCCGAAGTCTCTGCTGATGGGAAATCCCTGGGTTGCAGCCTGCTCCACACTAGCAGACTAGCAGCAGACCTGTCGCTTCAAGCTTCCACGTCTTCAACATGCCTCCGTCCTTCGCCTTAAGGGACAGCTGCACAGGTGTAGCTGGGAGCCGCGACGGACCGCGCATCCACCTGAGCTGCTGCGAGCTTGAGGGACTGGAGCGGATGCCAAAAACTGGACCTTCAAGGGATTGAAAAGCCAGTTGAACTGAGTGGAAGAAGGAGACACCACCCCAGCATCAGCAGTCGCAGGGTTCGGCCAAGGCAGTATGCACTGCTCTGCCGAGACGGGGACGCTCAAACAACGCTGAAGAGTTCGGTGCATGGGGGTTTAGGCTTCAGGGTTTAGGATTTAGGGTT